TGTAAACATTCATCACTTGGGGGGAAATTCCACTTGCTGACCCTTAAATAATTAGCAACTTTTGGTTCCCAGGCTGCTCCCCTCTCTCCAGCCAGCCTCTACTCCATGTCTTCCTAAGGACGTTGCGTGTGTGTAATAAACACTCAGGCGGAGCCCTGTTGGGCCAGAGGCCCATGAATCAAGTGCCCCTGGCAAGGCAGGAATTGAGCTCACCATTTGATGGAGGCTTCTTTTTCTCTTGTTCTCCTTTCCTTACTTTTCTTTATATCTTTCTATTCCTTTCCATTTTTTTCTCTTTTTCTAATTCTCATTTTTCTGAGCCCTGGCTGCCCTTACAAAGAACTTGGGAGGTAGCCTTGAGGGATACAAGAAACGGTGACAGACAGGCGTGTTGCTGCATCCCTACATGGCACCCCAAGGTGAGCATACTGTCCTCGCTGCACGGTTGTGCCTATGTAAAAGAGCGAGTAGTTGACGTCACCAGCCCTAGGAACAGACTCAGTTACTCCAGGAAGGAGCAGGGGTGAAAGAGCCTGGGAGGAAATTCAATATGGCGAGCAGCCCATAATTGTATCTCCATTTGTAGAAGAAACTTTAAGAATACCTTCTGAGCTGGGTGGTGTGTCCACAGGCCTCAAATCCTAGCTACACAAGAGAGACTGAGGCAGGAGGATCATAAGTTTGAGGCCAGACAGTCCTGTAGACCAGTCTGGGCAACTTAATGATGCTCTGTCTCAAAGTAAAGCCTGAGAAGAGGGTGGTGGACGTGGTCAGTGGTAGAGTGACTTGCCTCACATGATAAGGTCCTGGGTTCGATTCCTAGAAATTTAAGAAAAGAAAGAAAGATACACTCGGTTGTTAAACATGCTGCTGAACTGAAACCAGTCTTCATTAGGGACCCTCATCCACTTGAGGTTGTGTCTGGCCTTTGATTCCCAAATATCCAGAATATAGCCTTCTTCCACACAATGGGCCCGTGGCCTGGGACCATGACCGGACAAGTTCAAGTGTGGAACGTTGAGAAACTCACTGTGGCATGGCTGAGTACTTGGTGTCATAAGCCCTGGGGCTACACTCCAGTTTGCCCAGCCTTCCTTGTACCTCGGTTTGTGGGTATTCTTGAGGTGTTTTCTTAGTCTCCAGACGTCCTTCGATCCTGCTGTCTCCCTGGCTTTCCCTTCTGATGATTGCTTAAGTGATTTTAGGAGTTGGGAAGAGATGCTCAGGGCCATGGTCTCAGCATGAGCATGGCAGGGACAGTTCAGCTTTAAGACTGTTTTCTGCCTGACAGGGCAGGACCCCCAGACAAATCACTGGCTGGCTCTGTGGTAGTTGGCAGCCATTCAAGACTGGTCTCGTGCCAGGAGTATTACTAGATAGCCAGACAGATCAATTCACTTTTACATTCCCGCCATTATTTATAGCCCCACTGTATATGTACTCTTGCTTATGAAGTAATGATTAGCAAATACAGTACACATAAAACATGGGCATTTGTTCTGGAAAGAGCTTTCTCCTGCTGATACTGCAGATACTTTCACAGGTCACAGAACCTTCAGAAGGATTTAAAGGGCACGCCTTGTGCAGCGTTTGTTCCTTTGAAAATGATGCTCCTTCCCCACTTGGGAGTAATTGAAGAGGATAGAAGGGGTTTTCTCCTCGCTTATGTTGCACTACATTCTCTGCAGCTCCTGTTCCCACAGACGCTTCAGCCAAACCTGCGCAGAGGGAAGTTGCACGGTGCAGCCAGCTAAGGCTATTTCACATGACTGTTTTGTGTCTGCCTTTTGAGTGTGTCCAAGTGAACAAAAGTACTTCGGCTAGCATGTATGGGAGGGAACCTGGGATGGGATTTCCTCCGTGCTGGGGAAACCCGACCAGACTCAGTGGAAGACACTGACCCAGGTTTGTTTGTGTTTTATTCTTTCTTCCCAGAGCACATGATCTGTGTTCACATGCTTCTGGGGCAGCCAAAAGAGTCTCCCCTCTAGTGGTGGTCTATCAGCATGTGTGATGACCACTACTGAGTTAGAAGACATGTTCAACCAGCCCAGAGTCCATGATTGGAGAGCGTCACACAGCTTGGACTATGGAGGGTGGGGACAGGTCTGCCTTTCCTTGAGAATATATGGTGACCATAAAGGCATTATTTAGAGGCCTGCATTATGTAGCCTGAAATCACATCCACACATTGATTAAGTCATGTTTTCCTAGCAGAATGAACATATATAGCGAGAAGATAAAAAGAAAACCATTAGGTTAGGATGATACTACTAGAAAGAAAAATGTAGCTCAGAGTTTGAAAACACTGGGCTCTTTGCACCCTGCTAGCCCATCACAGTTTCCACCTTGGTTCACTATTAAATGGAGACACGTGCAAGTACCTCTCATCACTTGGGCAGGTGAGTGCATCTTGTATTATGTGGCCAGCATACTTCTATCTGTGTCAGGACATAGAATTGCGACATATTTGCTAAGAACATTGCCAATACATAAGCATACTTATAGCTTATGGGTATATTTTTCTTGCTATTTCTAGAACACTTCCATGATTTCCTATTATACTAAGGGTTTCTAGCTCAGTAGGACCTTTTTCTTTATCTTTTTATTTTTATTTTTGAGATAGGGTTATATATATCCACTTGAATCTCTGATACACCACTTGACATCCCAGATGCTACTAAACCCAATGTACGTGGTACTGGGGATTGAACCCAGGGTATCCTGAGTGCTAGGCAAGCACTCTTCCAACTGATCTACACCCCAGCCTTGACCTACGTCATTTAAAACACTGTATAAAAAGGTCCCTTTTATTAGCTGGGTGTTAGAGGCACACACCTATAGTCCCAGCACTTGAGAGGCAGAGGCAGGCAGATCTCTGTGAGTTCCAGGTTAGCCTGATCTACAGAGAGCATTCCAGGACAGGTTTCAGAGAAATACAGAGAAACTCTGTCTTGAAAAAAACAAAAAGAAAGAAGGAAGGGAGGGAGGAAGGAAGGATGTTGTCATTACATGAGAGAAAATTCTAACTCCCCTCTTAGAATTTGTTTTGTTTTTACTCTTTTAAATGACTTTCCATAAAACTCTTCATACATACAAAAAACGAGCGTTGCGAGTTAAACCTAGAATAAGATGTGGGGAATCACTCTTGATCCTTTACTGCAATGCCTCTTTACTACATCACTTTACACTTTATAGTCGCTTACAGTTTCCAGGCATGTTTTTATATACTGTCTCATTTGATTCTCACATCAGCCCTGTGAAGCAAGCAAGGCTTAAGTCATTAGTCCCTCCTCACAAATGAAGAAATGCCCGATCCTTCAAGCCTGGGGAATTGTTTTCTACCTGACCAGAGCTAACCATTTCCTGAACCAGAGCTAACCCTTTCCTGGTGCCCCCTCCACCACTTCAGGCTCAGGCACAGATGCGCCATCATGCCACAGAAAGTGCTCTCTCTTGTTTTTTTTAAGACATCAGAGGCAAGCCGGGCGGTGGTGGCACACGCCTTTAATCCCAGCACTAGGGAGGCAGAGGCAGGCAGATCTCTGTGAGTTGGAGACCAAGCCTGGTCTACCAAGCGAGTTCCAGGACAGGCTCCAAAACAATACAGAGAAATCCTGTCTCCAAAAACAATAAAAAAAAGACATCAGAGGCTTTCTTGATGAAATGAAAGAGGTATTTCTCAGTCAAAATGTTATTGAAACATCTTCATTTCTCCTCCGGCCTGCACTGATGGTGATGAAAGCTCTTTAGACAACCTATGTCTCTCCATCTTTGAGGGAGGTTTCCCCACAGCTAAGTCCCCACACTTCAGGACAAGCTCCATCTGTTTATAAACTCCCATTTCTCTGTCTTTAGATGTCTGTTGCACTTACAGCTTTTCAGTCAGCACTTGTGTGTTTGTCTCTACCATTCTAGTGTTGTCTATGGGTGTGTTTTCTGGAAGGGCCATCCAGATTTCATTTTCTTCAGCAATGCTGGGGGAACACTGGGATGGCAGTGTCCATACCATGTGCTAAGTGTGGAGTTTTGCTAAGTGGTGCTGAGGTATAGGCTGTGGAAACCACCCAGATATCTCCCTCCCTACTTTGAACCAAAAAGTGGCCAACAACCTAGACACTGAGCAGAAAGCAATCTTCTATTACTTAAGCTAAAGCAAGAAACTAAAAGACGTATTAGTTCTTTTCTTTGGCAATGATATAATCATGCAAAATCACAAAATGGTACACAGTACCAAAGAAAAGAGTCTGGATAGAGTTAATGACCTCTAGAGCAAGCTGTGTGAGTGTCACTTGTCTGAAATATATACTTACTCTTCTTCGTGTTCTGTTTGTTCCTATGACCTTTCTGCATGCTTCTTATGATAGATGTAATTTATAGGGCTCTATAATTTTCCATTGGACAATCTGAGTTACTTCATAGATATCACAGACTGCATCCTATGTTGATACCTCCTATGGGCAAATACACTTTTATCTGAGTGCTTCTTCATCGTTATTCAGTAGGAGTAACATTTTAATGAACTGTTTTATTGTTTTTATTTTGTTTGGTTTTTCCAGAGAGAGTTTCTCCGTGTTGCCCAGGCAGTCCTGGAACTCACTCTGTAGACTAGGTTGGCCTCAAATTCAGAGATCAGCCTGCTTCTGCCTCCCTGGTGCTGTGATTAAAGGTGTGCATCACCACCACTGCCCAGCTTGTTTTAGAGAGCTTTAGGTATACTTTTTGGCTGACAACGTTCATTAAAATTGATTTAGCTTTTCAGGGCTGAGAATGGGCAGAGGTGTCTAACTGACCCTTCTGGATTCCTTAAGATAGTCTGTTACCTACCCACTCCTACATACCCATGCTCACCTCTACCCACCACAGGTATCAGGTTGGTCAGAAAAGAGCGCCCTCTGTGTGGCTTCTATCAGAGTTTCCCCTTCTTAAGAGTAAGGATTTCATCTAATAATCTCCAAATTATCTTTACCCCAGAACACAGGTGATTCAGAGAGCAAGGCTTCTCATTCCAAGTCAAGTTTATTGTTCTGCTCTCTACACTCAAAGAAAAGTGGGATATTGGTGATTTCTATCTGACAACACGAGCATGGGGTCTGTTCTTCCAAATTTTAGGTTCATATCCAGAGTCATCACCCCTCATGTGCTTAGGTATTTATCAGTCTTATTTTATTAGTCAGCAAAAATAACTACTGCATCATTTTCCACGTTTGCCCTTCCAGGTTTCTGAGGATTAAATGGTAGGAGTAAGTAGTTACTGAAGAGCAGTACAGGTTTCTGAGTTTCTCCAAAATGTTAATCTCCATCCTTTCTGCTTGTTTCCAAGCACTGATGTCCATGTTTCAATCCAAAATAATTGAAAGAACAAAAATAGAAAAGGTATGTTAGTCTCATATGCCTAAACATTTGGGTAAATAATTTATGAACAGTAAATAAAGGCCCACTCGCTGTATGAATGTCTATCCATGCCAGTGTGAGAAGAAAAAACAATACCTGGGAAGACAAAACTGAACAAAAGTCCCTTAAATTCAGGTGTTTCGTTACTTTCCAATGACAGTCTAGTCACTCTGCTCCAGTGGGGCATTCTAGATAAAATACAAAATGAAAACAAATAACACAAATATATTTTGAAGCTCACTCTGCCGTGTTCACAGGGCAGCAGAAGTGAATGGATCACTATACTCATAACCAGGCCACTACACAGAATTCCTTTAGCAATATTGGAGACCCTCCTATTCACCCTTCCAAGGTTTAAAAATTCTTCAAACTTTATAATCTTTCAAATATGCTCCAATCACTTGTCTAAATATGAAATCCTTGTAAAAAAGTGTATGACCTAGGTATCATCTCCCATCTGCAGTTGAGAAATGGTGAACCAGAGAAGTCACAAAGCTAAGAAGCTGTTAAAGGCTTTACATTTGCCTCTCAACTTCAGCCCAAGAACTTTTCTACTAAGCCTGTAAGACAAGAGCTTCCTTTACTTGTACAGTAAGAGGTCTCCTCGGTCTGAGATCTCTTCCCTCCCATGCTTCCTATTTACTGCTACCAGAATCCTTCAAGGTTCAAGACATCAAAGGGTTCCCTCCACCCTTCCGGTCTCATCCATGCTCTCTCCACCCTCTCTGCGCACTCACCGGTGCTCTTCTAACGTTGAAACTGTTGTCCTATGCAATGCAGTCTCTTCACTGCTAAACTCCAGGCTTTCTGAGACTCAGCGTCTAGAGGACAGAAAAGCAATGAGCGTCATTGCAGGATGGTTCAAATGTTGCCCCGTAATTCTCAGGTGATGGTGTGATGCTTTTCAGTTCAAATCGGACTTCACAACCCACCATCAGGTCAAAGCTATGAAGCAGTTCTTAAAATTCTCATTTGTAGCTACAGTGATTTAGACACCTAAAAGTTGAAGAGTTTGTCCCAAACCGTGCAATAAGTAGCATCAGCAGAGTTCAAACCCACGTTTCCAAACCTGTGCTGTCTCTTTCTCTCATCACATCTCTCGGCTGATGGATGGGTTAGTGCATCTTGTGTTTCCAGCCAAGCTTAGAGACTGAGAGGACGTGAAATTAATCTCAAAGTTGGTGGTTTTCTTTCACTTTGCAAGTGTGGCCTCTCACACAAGTTCTTCTTTTATGTGCTTCCCTAAGACCTGAGTGAAACTGCCAAGGAGACAGCAGACACTGAATAAATATTTGTTCAAAGGGATCGAGTGTCGTGCCTTCTAGAATTTCTACAAGCAATCAAAGACTATTAATTAGGGAGAGGAAATGAAGCAGAAGGATCAACATCATCCGAAGGAGAGTGTACCACGCACATCGTGATAATGGAACTCGTGATAGGTGCTGAAGTGTTGAGGGAGGCGGAGAGACACTAAAAGGCTGAAATTCCTCCTTGTAAGGAATTGTGCCTGCTCACAGTCACATTGTATCTTGTGTTCTCTGTTCTCCCTTTTCATTGACCTGAAACTCCTTCAGGCCATTTTTAGTGTGAAAACGATTTGGTGCCTCCCACGTGGCATTTTACTTAAAATAATATTCTCAATAAGAGTTTGTTTCTGTGGGAAAATTTAAGAAGCTTACCTGAATTTCACCCGGTCAGTGGTGGTACATACTTTTAATTCCAGCATTTGGGAGGCAGAGGCAGGCAGATCTCTCAGTTACAGACCAGCCTGGTGTGCACAGAGAAACCTTGTGTCAAACAAAATTGTTCTCTGAATTTTTGTACCCTGATACACAGGCCAAATCAATAAAGATATTTCACATTTTAAATCCAAAATTCTCATTAAAAAAACAGAATTAAATAACAAGTACATTAGCCTGGAGCAGGTGGCTTGAGTTCAGAATGGAAGGCGAATTTTATGGTTATTTATTTCTCTCCAAGCTGAACCACACCCCCTATGTTAATTTCTTTTAAAGATTTTGAAATTCTGAACTACTACAGAATTGTATGCTCTCTCTGTTTCTTTAGACTTCGTCTTGGAATCTATAGGGTTACACATTTAGATAAAACGAACTTTCTAGTGTCAAACTTTCTTAGAAGGGGAGTCTTGCCAACACCCTGGGCTACACTGTTGGTGGAAAAGGAGCTTCCTTTGTCCCATCTACCTGGGCAATGTCAGCGAAAGGAAGCATGGCCACTGTAATGCCTGGTTTCCTAGACTTCCACCTTGTTATGTGTGTGCACCAGAGCCCACTCAATCCACTGGCACTATTGGATTTTGTGAACTGTCAGTTTCACTGGGCAGAAAATGGCAACTAACACTATCCACGCCATCCAGTTTTGTGATAAGAATATATGTACATGTATATACCCCATTTGTTGCACAGCTCAGTGTAAGTCAGTGATGAGAATATGCATGGAAGTAAATTAATGAATTATGAAGCCCTAATTGGTACCTGAAATATGAAATAGCTACATGCTTTCCAAAGTTTTTACTAAACATACTAGTTTTTTTCTAAGTCAGAATTTGATAGATAGTTCTCCAAAAAAAACAAAACAAAACAACAACAACAACAACAAAAAAACACCAAAAAAATTGCCATGGCTGTCCATGCCAGACAGTGCTAATTTCAAAGGTTATATTTTACAGTCTCCCTGTGTATGCCCATTTTTAGAAAATTTTCCATGATTTCTGCCTCAGTCATGACCATCATCATAAGTAGAGCACATCCCATCCTAACAATTCAGTGAGCTCCATTTAGCCAAGAGATTAAATAGAGTTCACAGATTCATGGGCTGTTGTCTTCACTTAAATGAATCAGTGATTCGCGGTTACTGATCAACCTACTAATGCCACCGTTCATAAATGGGAATGGGCCAACCCCTGCTGGTATAATGATCAGCTGGAGGAGGAGTGGGGTGGGCACTGAACAGCTGATGGTTCTCCTCATTTCTAGAGGGGGGCCCTTGAGATGACTGCATATAGGTAGGCAAGGCTAGGCAACTGTGACACCTCCCCAGGGTCCCTTTGGTGCCAGGGATTTAAGAGCCTCAGCTGTCAAAGAACAATAAATTTCCCCTCAAAATATAAAACATAAATCAGTGTTTCCCAAACACTGAAAGGCAAGAAGAAACTAAATCCCCACAATAATGAAAAGAATCCTGTTAATTAAATCAGTAAGGTAGAGAGCTTCCCTCGCAGCACACGGCCCGGCTGAACACTAGAATACCTTGGAGACCAGAGCTGAAATCCAAGATTTTTCTAGTTTGCAAGTCAGCATCCTGAGGGAACATTTAGAAGAGAAGGGGGTTGGGGAAATCTTAGAAACAGGACAAGTAAACACAACTTCATTTTTTTTAGAAGTTGTTGGACAATGTTTATACAGAAAGGTAAGTTGCAAAACAAATTGTAAACGAGGCTTGGCATGCGTATGCCAACCTCTTATCAGATCTGCACCTGTCTTGGGTAAGCCAAAAGCCCCATAGCTGTGCACTGAGACATAGACTCCAATATGGGATACTGCGTCTTTGACTGGTTGGCTGGTTGGTTAGTTGGTTGGCTGGCTGACTGGCTGGTTGGCTGGTTGGTTAGTTGGTTGGCTGGCTGACTGGCTGGTTGGCTGGTTGGTTAGTTGGTTGGCTGGCTGACTGGCTGGTTGGCTGGTTGGCTGGTTGGTTAGTTGGTTGGCTGGCTGACTGGCTGGTTGGCTGGTTGGTTAGTTGGTTGGCTGGCTGACTGGCTGACTGGCTGACAGGCTGGTTGGCTGCATGCTACACTTTTTCATTTTATTTGCCTCTTGAACTTCCTGGTTCAAATAGTTTATAACAGTGTTTAGTTACTTCTCACATCTTTCTCTTTGTCCTGCAAAGCCTCTAATGTAGATTTGTCGGTTGCTTTAATGTTTGGTTAATTGGCTGGTCTACTAAGAGAGATTGTGTTGGCATGGTTGAGGAATCCTGGGGAAAAGAGGGATTGTGGTTTCTTATGAATCAGCAGTTGAGAGCCACATGTCTGTTATACAGGTCACTGACAGCAGGAGCCCTCATAGAAATGAAAGCCAGCCTGACTCTACTCCGGCCTTGGGTTTCCCTCTTTTGTTTTGCTGCCTCTATTTCTGTTTTTGTTTTTGGACCAATATGTTACTCTGTGGCCAGGCTAGCCTGGAATTGACAACATAGCCCACGCTAACCTAAAGTTTGCTATGAAGCTGAGGCTGGCCTTGAGTCGCACATCCTCCCAAGTGCTGGGACTGCAGGCATATACCATCATACCCAGCCTGAGTTTTGCCCTTCAAGCTCCTCACAACCAGGTTACTTAAAACCCATAATCTGCCAGCCTTTAAATCTGGTTTCACTGCTTTTAAAATACACCAGCATCTATGCCAGAATCTGAGCCCTCTCTTCTGAACCTTTCCAAACGTTTGAAACTACTCAGCTACCAACCCTTCATTAGAGCCAGCATTTATCTAATCATTAGGCAGTATGTTGTAAATGCTGCAGGGTGTGCTTGCTGTATGTTTTTGTTCATTCAGTTGTCGATCTGTCCCCAACAGGGTCTGTTTTGAGTCCTATGACAGCAGGGGTGAGATGGTGCTGGGGTGGTGTGTCACGTCAACTGCATGCCCTGTCACCCAGTTCACATCTACACACAGACACAGAAAGATCATTCTCTGTGCCAAAGGTCAAAATGTCAGAAGTACTGTGGACAGACTTTGGAAGACAAAATAACTAGGGTTTGACCCTGGTCCTCACACATCCTAGGCAAGGCCCTCTACCTCTGAGCTATCCCCAGCTCACTCTAGTTGTTATTGTTGCTGTTTTGATTCCGTTTTTTCATGGGTTTTTTGTTTTTGTTTGTTTGTTTTGAGACAAGGTCTCGTGACATCCAGAATGACCTCAAACTGCTTCTATAGCCACTGACACTTACTCTGGATTTCCTTACTTCTGCCTCCCCAGTGCTGGGATCACAAGAACACTGCACCTTGCCCAGCACAAGCCCTCTGTTTACTCTTTATTTTGAGACAAAGTCTCACTATGTTTCCCAGGCTAGCCTTGAATTTTTGATAATTCTACCTTGGTTTCCAGAGTAAGTGGAATTAACTTTCAAATTGAGGACAAAATTGAGTCTATAACTCGAAGTTACCATCCCTCAAGTCTTACCCTGCCAATCAGTCCCTCTGGCAGAAAGAATAGAAATAGTGAACACAGTGTGACTCAACCCTAGTACTCTGTAGCTGAGACAAGCTTGCATTGGCAGTAAGTAGCCAGACTGATATCTCGACACAGATGGCAGTCCCAAACTCAGTCCTAACTGTTGCCTTCTGATGACCTTGCATCATCATGATTTTCCTTCTCTATGCTGATACCTCTGACCTTTCCCAGGCGTACCTCAGTGCTTAGTGAGGGGTGGCATGGATCTGCTTAAGATTTTGATTTTCCTTGTTTGTCAAATCAAGTAAGATTTAAAGTCCTTCAGTCTACTGTGAGAAATGAGTCTGTATGTGTGTACATTCAATGTCTGCATGTATGAGCATTGCAAGGAACAAATTAGTAGGGGTTTTCAATTATACTTGTCTTATCTAATCTTTTAGGAATGCTACTTTTGTTCAGGAAATCCTTATTTTAACAGTATTTTGAAGGGCTATGGAGATGGCTCAGTGGGTAAGAACATTGCTGTACAAGAGCACAAGAACTGAGCTTGAATACATAACAGCCATATTAAAAACTGGCCTGGCTATTCATGCATCTAACCCCAGTGTTAGGAAGTGGACACAGGCAAACCCA